ACTACTACTATGAGTACTACTAGTACTACTACTGCTACTAGTACTGCTAGTACTACTGCTACTAGTACTACTACTACTACTAGTGCTACTAGTACTACTACTACTATTACTACTACTACTACTAGTACTACTACTACTACTAATAACAAAAATAGTGTAATACCATATGACGTAACACTGTGATATTTGCTGAGACACTTATCGTACTGTGAAAATCTCATAGCAAATTCATCTGTTTATTTTTATTACAAATACGCTATATTTTTTAAAAGTTACAGTAAGGAAACATTTTTTGATGCATTACGATGCATCAATAATCACACTGTAGCCCAGTGAATTGGAACAGAATCATGTGGTGCCCAGAATCTCATTGTAAATGAACTGTGCCTCATGAATGACCAAAGGGTAAATCTGCAGTGTCAATATATCACACAGCTGACATTTCAACAGCCGTACAATCAGTCTGCTGTAATGTAAAAATTAAAACAGTGCCAGGAGACATGTGTTTGCTTAAGTTATTTCATTAGCATTAAAATGTTCCTTTGGTTGACAATGACCTTGAGCTAGTGCACTGCAACAAAAACAAGTCACCAAATGTTGCGATCTCTGTTTAGCAGCAGATGTAATGACCTAATCAACAACACAGCACAATAATTCTCCATGCCTCTTGGTCTTTTATTGCTAATATATGACATATCTCATCCCTTTAACTGATTGGTCTACAACCTGACAGAGGCCCCAGGCACACATGAGCACACACACACACACACACACACACACACACACACACACACACACACTTCCTTGTTGATTGGTGGCTCATTAAGGTGAAAAGTGAATGGAACAGACCTAAGAGGAAACTCAGCAACACTAATACACACACAGACACACACACCTACAGAGAAGGAAATTGATTTCTTCAGAACACAGGGAGATCAAAAGGCTTATTATAATTGGTTTGTAAATGTGGTTGAGCTCACCACCCACTCTCTCGAGCACATACACCAGCATACAGGCATCCTTGTGCTAACAAACACACATTCGTCAGCAATAAACTTGTCGGGATTTTATAGGAGGCATGTGTGATGCGGAAAGGTGCTGTTGCATGTGTAGGTGTGCAATGCAGCGATATATATATATATACAGTGGATGCCATCACAACGTGACTCCTCGGGCTGGAGTCGAGGGGGAATCTCCACTGGAATAAAAAAAAACGAGGTCGCCGTACTACAACAGACCATGGAAACACAGCAGCAGAGACTGAGACACAGAAGAAGAGGGAAGGGTGTAAAGGCTGGAGAATTGGGATATGAAAATGATCCTCACATTATGAGGATTAATAATCATATATGCTCCTGGCCCTTTTCTCTCCTTTTCTCTCCCGAATCAAATTAATCACCAACGTTCCCCCTAGCCCTGCCTTTCCCTCTGCTCACTCTTCTCTTTACACCCACCTCCTCCTCCTCTTCTCTCCATCTCTCGCTCTCTCTCTCATTCTTTTGCTAATTGGGCTATCTGAGGTGCCGACTTCAAAAGGCACCTGCTATCAAACACATACTTAAAAAAAAAAAAAAAAAAAGTGAGAAAAGGACAGTTCAGTGTATCTATACCCATATTAGATGAGCAATGTTTGAATTCTAGCTGTGCCACTGTCCCGCACTTCCCAAAAAATGGGTAAACGCATAAAAATACTGTTTGAATTCTGTTCACTCATTAATATATTATTATTATTATTATTATTACTATTACTATTACTATCATTAAAAGAAAACGAGGAGAAAACCAATGCTAAAAAGCAGAAAGCAGACACAAGCACTTCAAAGTAAGTAAGTGAGAACCAGTAGCTTAATGGAGAATGTGGGGATAAGCTTTGCCGTCTGAATCCTTATACACTCCACTAACTGCTTTACAGCCACACATACTTGCTCATCTAAACAACCTGGCTTTTTGCAATTGCAAATAGTCATATCAGGTTTTTATATACAGGGCTTTGTTATAAGCCCTTACACTTGCAAAGCATAATAATGGCAGGAAATAATAGCAGGCTTTTTCCAGATGTCTACAGGAGGAAGATGGCAGTATACTCGCATGGTTTCTCTGCTACAAATATTGCAGTGGAATTTGGCTAGTTTCATCATAATAAATTCTTGTGAATACCGAGCTGTACCATCGTCATCAAGCTGTACAGATGTACAGTGTAACAGCTTGCTATTATCTCAGACTGGGCATCAGTTCAACCACATTCAAAAGCTCAGTTACGTAACAAAAATGCAGCATGTAGTCGTATTAAGAATATATCTTCCCATATTTTCTTCCATAAAGTGGTGCTTAGGTAAAACAAAGCCACCCACCACTTAAAATGTCGCTGAACCACAGCAAGAAAGGAAGGAAGCCTGCAGCTCCCAAAGGTGGTGTACTTTCTGAAAACTCTGACAGTCTGAATCCTCAAAAAGCCAGACCTCACTCGATTTATTGACTTACTATATAATGTATACTTCTCATTTCCCATGTTGACAGCTTAATGTTGTACTTCAATCCTGGTGAAAAAGATATTGAGCAGCACAGCACTGCTAACAGTGGCCTTGGCTGCAACGGCTGTTCGCAAGGCAAGTTAAGTAGTTTGAGAGGAGAAAGGTGAAAAGTCTTGAGGTAAAGAAGCCTCGACTGGAATAAATCCAGTAAGAGGAGCTTTTCTCACATAGTAGTCTGGACATGTTGTGCTCTTGCCTGACCTCAGAACCACTACCGAAAACATGTAGCCATGTAGGCTTAACACTGAAGTACAAATTCATCAGGCAAAAAAAGGTCTGTGAGTGTATGTTAAGTCAAAAGCAGCTAAATGAGATCAGATGCATTACTACAAAAACAAACCTATGAAACACCACACAATATAGAAAACATTTAGAAAATGCTCTGTGATGGATTTGCTGTAGATACTAATAGATTCATCACACATACATAAACAAACCAGGGATAATTGATGCTCAGAGTCTGACAGCAGCTTCAGTGGCTTATGGGGATGCCAACTATAAATAGGATTTAAAACGATCTGCTCTTGTTAGGGCAAAACCCATCTTAACATAACAAAAGTAATATCACATTGACTAATACAAACAAAAGGTTTTAATTATCATCTCTGCAGTTTCCGAGACTATTTCAAGATTTGTTTAGTCAAATTCTGACATGCTCAGCAGCAGGAGGGAGACAGGAGGAGGAAGGATACCTGGCCTGAGCTTAACTACTGAACTTGACCTCATTTTCAATGAGAGATAAGGCAGATTGAGATACATGGCTTGATATATACAGACCGAAAATGGAAATAACCACAGATAAAGAGCTAAAGATAAAAAAAACATGCACGCTTGAGTGTGTGTCAAAGTGTGGAATTGTGTCCATGTGGGGCATGTGCAGCCAGAAGGCGTGTCTCCCACCATCAGCTCTCTGCTCTTCCACCGAGCCTCAGAGGTCAGCACCCCTGACCCTGCCCTGAGCGCACTATCCCCACCCCCCCGCACGTCTGTTTTCTGTGTGGGTGTGTGCGTGCGCGCAACCCCAGCAGCACTGCTGGGCAACTGATGGAGAGGAGGAAGAAAGGTCAGAAAGGGTCAGCGGTGGCTCGGTGTGGTGTCGGTCTGTTTGCTGGGTAACGAGGAATGGGGGGTGCAAGAGGAGGAGGAAGAGTGAAGTCGAGCTTCCAGAGGTGAGGGATTAAGAGAAGGATAGGGAGGTCAGGAGGAATGTATTACGCCTTGAGCGTTGTGTTTAAGCAAGAGAATGAAGGACAAGGGGTGAAAGGTCAATGTGCATAACCAGAGCTGGTTGTTTATTGGGTGTGTGTGCATGCACAGACACACAGACATGTATACACAATACAGACACGGTGTGGATTAAATCATAAGTGCGTGCTCACAAAAACATACGATGCTTACACAAAAGCTCCAAAAAAATCCAAAATCTATTTTAAAGAATGTTTCATTCTGAGCTACCAAACTCCAACAGATCTAAACAGACTGGTCTCTCTCTCTCTCTCTCTCTCTCTCTCTCTCTCTCTCTCTCTCTCTCTCTCTCTCACACTCACACACACACACACACACACACACACACACACAGAGAGAGAGTACATCTGCACAGGCAGACATACAGACAGGTGTGGGGCTATGAAAAGGCCACGGTGTCTTTATAGTCAGCTCTCAGAAAAGGTTATTAGACATCAACCGGAACAGGCGGCTGTCTCAGCCAATAAAAAGTGGAGGCGTGGGTGTACGGGCCAAGGGGGTGGAGGGGTCAAATCAAGGAGTGACAGGCGGACGTTAGGACTTGCCATACAGGTGAATGCAGATGGGACAGCTGCCAACACTGACATTTAACTGACATCAACAGCTAGCATCAGCCATGTGTGCATGCGCACTCCTGTTTATGTATATGACATGGACAAGAGTCAGTGTGTGTATGTGTACCGAGACTGAATCTGAAGGTCAGATAGAATTATATACACACCCACACACACTGTCTGTCTGTGATTTCCTGGTGTCCTGGTTATGATATGAATATGGAGGAGTTAGAGCAGAAGGCTCAGTGACACTGGGACAAGGTGATAGGAGTGGACAGGTGTGCGTGCGTGAGCGTACGCCCGTGTGTCAGCGCTTTGTGCCAGGACAGCAGGTGGCTAGTCAAAGGACATCAGTGACCTTCTCCTTATCCCTCCCTCTACCCTCCTCTCTTTGTCCATCTCTCCCTCTGTCCCCAAGTCCCCATGCGTCTCACCCAGTGCTCTGTCTCCGCACAACAAGTCACGGGCACGTCGAGGAGATGAACACATACACAAACACAGGTGTGGGTGGTTTATTCATGAACTTGTGCGAGATGCTGTTTTGACACAGTGTTGCTGAATAATGTAAATGTGCAGTGTGTCCTCCCAGCAGAGGAGAAGGGTGAGAAAGGCTGGAGAGCATGTGTGGAAAAAAAAGAACTAAATGGAGGTGTGTGTGTGATATTCTTACCTTTAGTGGCTGATGGAGGCAGAGCAGGAGGATTGAAATAGACATGGAATCAGGGAGAGAGGGGAGGGATGTGGGAGAGGTGAGGAAACAGGGAAAAAAGACATTGCTCATTACTGTGAAACAACATGATAACAGCAGTAGTAAAAACACACACGCCACACACTCACTCTTAGTCTGTGAGGAGAAGGTTAAGGTGAGTTTGGCAAAGAGCTCATTGTTTTCGAATTTCTCCTCTTTCGCCTTGGTCCAGAAACTCTTCTCAGAGAGGTCCTCAGGTCCGATCTAAGAGAGAGAAAAACATACAAAGAGACAAAGAGAGAGACATGAAATGAAGAAGAGAGCGAGATGTATTGTATCCGTTAGATAACCATATCATCAAATTGGCTCAATTTTCCAAAAATGGTCATCTGTGCACCTGGCAAACAATGAGATGAGCAGATAAAGAAGTCGGCAGAACAAAAGAAACAGCCGGGCTGTAAAAGGAAGAGGCAGGGGTATGATAGTAGAGGGAGTAGAGAAGGGTAGCGGAAGGAAGGAAGGCACAAAGAGGAAAGAAAGAGGAGGAAACAGGTAGTTATTTTCTTTAATCTTCGCACACTGTCTCTACCACAAAACATCTTGAGCTTCAGAGCTTCGCACACAGAAACGCAAAAAATACAGAGGGTTCCGCTTTGCTTCCCCCCATTCTTTGATTTACTCGGGAGCTCTCTCTGTATCCCTCCCTTCTCTCTTGGTGTTGCTCTCCCTTTCTCTATTCCAGTCACAAGTCACAATTAACTTTGTATGTTTTTCCTGCACTTTCTGAGTGTTCTCATTAAAGGAGAAGAGAAAGAGAGAAAGTGAAACAGAGAGAGCAGGAGAGAAAGCAGTGGTAGTAAATTTACAGATATCAGTCCTTTCATTATGGACAAAGCCTCGGGGATGGGGGCGTAGGATGGAAAAGACAGAGAGTAGGGAAAGGAAATGTGATATGGGGATGAGCTGAAGGAGCAAGAAAGAAAAGCAAGAGAGCACGCAAAAAAGGACGATGAGACAAAGCCAGAAAAAAAAAAGTTAATTTAAATTACAAAAGAATACTGTCCTTTCTAGCAGCAATTTAATTATCTTTCAGTGGCGCAGTTAAAAGAAGAAGGCTTATTAAAAAGCAATTTCTGTGACATCCTCGTCAAACACTCTCACCAGCCAGAGAGAGACAGAGAGAGAGAGAGAGAAAGGAGAGAGAGAGAGAGAGAAAGAGAGAAGCTAAATGCTGATGAAGTCTGCTGAAGCCATTAAACAGTAGCTTTAGGCTAAAGAAAGACAGAGGGCCGTTTTGATGTTTTAACCATCACAGATGAGAGGGTGGAGAAGAACATGAAGCACATAGTCATGAGATACACGTGTGCATGCAAGTCACTTTAGGTCAGAATCTCACTGTTAAAGCTCCATCTCACACTACAGAACGCCCCGAGCTATTTCCAACTGTATTGTAGAACTCAGCATGGTAAATTACATACAAACTTTAAATTGCTCCAGAATTATTTACAATAAAATCCTTCCCCGTTTTTACATGAGGATTATACTAATGTGGATAATGAGGAGCTGAAATACAGTGTGTTATATTGGCTGTCAGTACTGGCGTCATTTTGGCAGATTGCCCCAATAACAAGCAAACACAACTCCATCTAATTGTTCTAAAAATAATTAATGAATTAATAAAAAATTCTGGAGATGCCACGGGCCTAATTTGACATGAAACATCTGTGGCAGGAAGTGTCCGCAAAAGCAAATTATTCAAGCCAAGCATTTAAGTAGCTGTTATACAGTATATAAGTGGTTAGTTAAATCATTCATTCATTCATTTTCCGTAATCCTGCTTGGGGTCGCGGGGCTTGAGCTTATCCCAACTGACATTGGGCGATATCACACCCTGGACAGATTGCCAAACTGTTACAGGGCTGACACATAGAGAAAGACACCATTCACGCTCACGTTCACACCTATGGGCAATTTAGAGTCACCAGTTAACCTGCATGTCTTTGGACTGTGGGAGGAAGCCGGAGTACCCGGAAAAACCCACGCTGACACAGGGAGAACATGCAAACCCGGCACAGAAGGGCTCCCCCACCCCGGGTTCGGCAGCAAGGTGACAATGCTAACTACTGCATCACTGTGCCACCCTAGTTAAATCATATGAATCAAAAATTGTAGACCATGAATGTCAATAATACAGAAGTGTGTGTATCTTTTTGATGGCAATGTTGGATAAATCCTAAGTTTAGCTTAGTTCAATGGCTGAACTTTCAATGCCCTTTGTATGGTGCACTGAGTGCTTCATCCTGCATAGGTTCCCCACTCTCATAACAGCCTAATTAAACCTAAAAGTTTATAAGTGTAAGATAATATCTCATACATGGGAGATAAACCTTTAGGCTTAATTGGATTTTTGGCCACACTGCCCACAATTTTTTTTTTTTTTTTTTTACCTTGCCTCTCAGGGCCTCCGTACAATGAGCTATGCCAGATTTCAAAATTTCACATTATCTTTTTACATCAACAAATAAAAAACTAACATTTTACAATCAGTCTTTGAAAATGTATAATATATCCATCATGCATCTCAGGTCTGACCTTGCTCCAGTTGGCTCTCTTCAGCTGGACCTCAGGCTTGTACTCCTTCTTAGGCTGGAGTCCATAAGGCAACTTGGGTGGTGCAGGGGCCCCCCAGCCAAATGGTGGAGGTGGAGGCATGCCTGGACCCGGCGGCGGAGGAGGGACACCGGGAAACCCAGGAGGTGGTGGGGGTGGTGGAGGTCCCATCCCAGGTAAGGGTGGAGGGGGTGGTGGTCCTGACATGCCAGGGAGGGGCGGGGGTGGCGGAGGTCCTGGCATGCCTGGTAAAGGAGGTGGAGGAGGAGGAGGAGGAATACCGGCGTGACCCGGTAAAGGAGGAGGGGGTGGCGGGGCGGGGATGCTTGCGTGGCCTGGGAGGGGTGGGGGTGGAGGAGGAGGTGGAGGGGGCATACCTACATTCTGGCCAGGGAGCGGAGGGGCGGGAGGTGGAGGGGGCAAACCTGGTGTTGGCACAGGGACAGTAACTGTGACAACTTTAGTCTTGGCCTCTTCCAGATCTTTAGACAGCTTTTCAATCTGCAGGGGAGCAAGGAGACAGTATGTTATCATAAATATTGATTAAACTATAACTGGGCATACCACTGTAAATCTTCACATCACATACAGTCATTTATCATATTGGCTTGACTTCACTGTGTATTGTTGGTTGTTTATTATTTCTGAATTGACATTAATTTTGTATAGCTTTGGCAACTTCCACCATTTCCGATGAACAGCCATGCCAACAGAGTGATTAGATTTAGGGGAGGAAAAAAGGCAGAACAAAAGAGGGGAAAGAACGACATAGAAAGGGATTAAAGCCTGGGCAGGATTGAGTTTTGGGAGAGATGGGAAAGAATGGAGGACAAGGCGCAGAGAGAAAAACATAACAGGGGGGAATTAAGTCGACAGAGGAATTCAAAAGAAAAAGTTTTAAAGAGGAGGACAAACTTCTAAATTAGATTGGGGGAGGGTGAAATCAATTTTTTATTTCAACAGTGAAATACTAATTTCAGTATTTACATCAGTGAGGCGACAGTTCTTGAGAAAACTGTCCAAGTCGTGAAAGTAAACCAGCGAATACTGGCCAATGAAAGAGGACTAGGCTTTGAATGGCGACATCCTATATGTGCTTTAAAGTATAGAGAAGATTATTTACTCTATGTGTTCGTAGTTGTGATTAAAGTGTTAACAGTGTGCAAGTGAAAGAGTGTCTACGTACGCAGCATAACTAATTGTTTGTGTCGTTTTCTCGGACTTTGAAAAGAAGACAGTAACAGACATAAAGGGCCTCCGAGGCAAGCTTTCTTAGTGAGGCAGCAGATGAAGAGTTGGGCACAGCATCACACGGAGGGACAGTGAGAGATCTCTACATGTGAAGAAATCTTGGATGGGCAGTGCCTCAAACACAGAGGAAGTGAGCCATCTTGGTATGAGAAGCTTGTCTGATGCCTGGCTGGTGATGCTGTTGATGCGTTGGACAACTGTGTGTGCATATGCGTGTTTGGGCTTTCGCGTGGTGAGACGATGACTCTGCTGGCATCAGCCACTTTGGATGAAGCTCATTTTGGAAGCTGTGTACTTCTCTTACTGACAGACGCGCGCGCACGCAGACACACGCGGAGGAACATCTTCATGTGGCTATGAGCACACATTCACAGAGGCAGACTGTTCTGGGTCACTTGGTGTGTTTGTGAGTTTGGGTGTCACTGTGAGGCAGAGTCCAGCTGGTGTGGCAGCAGGACACTGACAGCTAAACAATCCTCATCTTTGCCTCCCTACTGTATGAGTGTACACACACACACACACACACACACACACACACACATATACAGACACACACACATACATACACAACACCCTGCGTGTGTATCTTGGCCTTAAAAATTCTGTTTGTCCCATCTCCATCCTTTCCCTTTCTTCTCCTTTCTTCTCCCTTTAGTCACTCTTTATACTCCCATTTCCCCACTATCCACGTTTATATTGAGTTTCTTAATCTCTAAAGGATTTGGCTTCTTCTCACGATATCCTTTTAGTTTTTTTTTCTTCCTCTTTTCATGCCATGCTAGCAGTTGGCTAAATCATTTAAGGCCAGGAGGCTTCTGTGTTTGTGTGGGTGTGCATAGATGTTGGACAACTTTTTGGTGCTTAGACTTCTGCAATATTGTATTTCGCTAAGCCTCAAAATATTTTTCCTTCTTGCAGCTTTAGAAACAGAAACTTCTGTTTTTGTGTGTTTGTGTTGTGACATTAAACAAGACTGATTCTGTTATCTGACTCGAACTTTATTGATTCGGTCCTAATGTTCTGGCTCTCTTATATTGACAAAGGTATCAGGCAATGATGGCAATACTGTATGAAGTCTGTTTGAGCTGATCAGCTCACCACAAAGATTTTTGGAAGTGTCATAATGGATTCAACTCATTTTTATTTCAGTGATTTTAGATGTTTACTTTAAGATTTATTCACATTCATTCCAACACATATTCAGAGACGTTGTCACATTTATCTGACTCAATACTCCACACACACTAAAATTTAAACAACACCGATTTAGATTTTAAAGTTACTTGAATTAAAAAAAAGGCATTGAGCCAGGTGGGTGTATGTGTTTGTGTTTACCTGCTGTTGCAGAGTGCCTAGCTGTTGTTGTAGTCCCTGGTTCTCCTTTTCTCGCTCCAGCTTAGAAGTGGCCAGCTGTTCCTTCTCTTGGCTCAAGTCCTGCAGCTTCTGCTCATAGTCGCCCTCCAGTTTCTTCAGCTCCACCTGCAACTCGTGGCGTGCTGTCAACTCTGCATCCAGCTAATACAAATGCAAAGGGTCATAGAGAGTTAGTTAGAGTCGGTTTCAGTATCCTAAAATGTGCAAGGCAGACATTTTGTGTCGTGGTGAACTTCAAGAAGCGTTGTCTTGAGGGAAGTAACGAACTGTCCCACTGGTACCAGGGCTGCACAGATACTGCACCGCTGTTGTGAAAATGTTCCTGATATGTTTCTGTAATGAATATTCAGCTAATCCTGTGCAGCATTTTCTTACACAGTGCAGCCTCATCCACCTTGCAAACAAACTTCTTCTCCTGGACCGGAGGAACGGACTGAGTTGGCAATTATAAGGTACCATGCATACAGTAATATTATACTAATACCATATGAGGAAAAACAACAGCAAACATTTATTTTTAATATCATTTGAAAAATTAAATACAGAATAAAATTAATGTCCTAAATTACCATAGAAATATCTTAAGGGTTTATTGTGTAGGAATTAGGAGGATCTATTCGCAAAAACTTTATTAATATTCATAAAAACAAGACAACGCGCTTACTCAGGATTAAACCTCTAAAACTGGATGCATGATGCTTAATGTAAATGATAATAAAATCAAAATCAGGACAACACTCCAATTTGCATTTTTTAATATTGCCATTCGGATGTTTCAGGCAAGATGCCCTTCTTCAGATTATATTTTGGCAATGTCCAGAATACACACTGTCGAAGGGCGCCCTGCCAGAAACGTCCATGAGGCAATATTAAATCCTAAATCCTACACACGAGACATTAAAAATATTCTGAAGCATTTGTTTTATAAAATAAAGGCTGTGTAGAATGACCAAAGAATGGATATGGTTTTGCTGCAATTCAGAGCTGCTTGTTGAGCTCTTCAAAGGCTAAATCACTTTTTAAACAATTTCCTTTAACAAACGATTAAAAAGCAGTAAAATAATTTGAAATACACCACATAAATATCATCCCCGTAGCTACCAAAACACCAGGGTTCTCCAATCAAACATGTGAGTAAAGTGTGTCTGCGTGCACAAGCTTTTAACCTCCCTCTTGAAGCTGCAGCAGTTTCCGTATCTCAAAGACCTGCAGAAGCCATTTCCTGCAGTCTAGTGCTTTCAGTTTCATTGTATAATTCACACTGCAAATTAGTGTCAATTATTGAGTTAGGATGCTTCAGTGCACTTGTATGAGCTCACTTCTCACTTCCATTTTAAAGCCTTCACATCCATTAAAAAAAAAAAAAAAAAAAAAGAAAGAAACATTTTACCCCCAATTCTAATTTCCTCACTTTCATACATTTTAAGGATTTTTCTTCTAGGACACTTGACAAACAGGATAAGAGCATTCAAACATATGACTACATGAACACACAGACACACATGGCCGTTTAATTTGCCGACAGCAGATCCGTTACTCTTGCTGTCAGCGTCCTGACAGCCTCATCCCTAATTCTTGCCAAAGAGACTGCCTGCAATTACCCCATCATAGACAACTAGCAATATGGTGTGTGTGTGGTCAACGAAAATGAATCCAAGGGTGTTCATGTAATGTGTGCTTGTGTGGACGCGCGTGTGTTCAATGGATATGATCCCATGTGAGTGTGCGTATCTTCATGTGTGCCTGAATGAAGGCTAGTTTCAGCTCCCTCTTCGCAATTATCCTGTCACTGGGACAGAAACATCTGGGCAGCAGCACACCACAATCAAGGCATTTACCCCCTTATGTGAATGTGTGTGTGTTGCGTGTGCTTTTTGCAAGCCTATAAGCGTATTTGTCTGTTTGGCGGCTGTCAGGCACGTGTATTCTCATTCACTTAGTCACCCTCTGTCCATCCCTTTTTTTCATTTGCCATCCCATGTCAGACAAAAACTGGTCGGACAGAATTTCATTATAGTCGCAATGTGTCTGTGTGTGAGAGGGGAAAATGTTAGCTTTTACAATGAATGATTTTCTTTTGTGTCTAAATGATTGTAATAGCTTGTATGCTGCTGGGATGACATGTAAATATGTCCGTGTGTATGCCGTGCTGCTGTGTGTGAGTGTGAATTTATGATTTTCAATGTGAATTCATTATTTGTGCGTATTTCACCTTCTTCCCCAGCTCGGTTGCTTTGGCTTCGCTGGTTTCCACCTTGGTCTGGTCCACCATGTTGTCTGTGGCCAAACAGAGAGGGCAGAAGAAAGGAAAAGAGAAAGAGGGGGAAAAAAAAGGTGGTGGATAAGATAAGGGTTTCAGACAACGCACCTGCACACGTCTGGGCGTGAAGACATCGCACCCTTTAGTCTGGCACATGCTGTGCGCACACATACATTCACAAACAGATGCGTACACACAGAGCAAGCATCCGATCTGTGTCCCTATTTTTTTCCCTTATCACACTACTCAAAGTCAAGATCCGTGAGAAGATCGTGGAGGCATCTCATTACAACAGGATGCCATCTGTTGCATGCTGCTTCTACACATCATTACCTTTTAAGCCTCTATATACACACACCTTTGTCTGACTGTGTGTGTATGTGCGGGAGAGGTGGGAGCCCACTAATTTCCCTCCGTGCGAAACACATCTCACACTATTTCATATCAAATTCTTATATTCAAAAATGAAAGCCCATATAACAGTCTGGAAGTAATCCATTATCAGAGGTTCTGCTTGGCAGAGGACAAGGTGAGAAGGACACAGGCTGACCAACGGGGTACTTTTACTGAATAATTGCAGGGCCTACAGGTGGTTCAGTGCCCAGGGGCTTAGTGAGCATGTGCAGTAAAAGAACTAATTAGCATGAAGATGAATGCCACAAAGTCACTGGATCAAAGACAGCTAATCATGATGCCCAGGAGAGGGATCAAACAGATAGATAGCAGAGATAGAAGCGCTGCGAAAAGCTAAAACAGAAAATGAAGAAACTGCATAGACATATAGGGAGACAATTACACAGACTGCGAAGAGATAAAGTTGGAGTCTTCAGCTGCAATGAAAATATAGCTGGTGGAAAAAGGGAGTTAAAACTATGCAGGATTCCTTATATCTAGATAAGCTAGTAAGCAAGGCAGAGCAAAAATGAGAAGTCTATTTTGTGAAAGAGAAGATTTTGCCGGATGAAAGAACTTCACAATAATATGTCATCCCACATACAATTTCAGAGTGTGCATTTGTGTATGAGTTTACATGGTTATTGGATGTGTAATGGAAGGGGGGGGGGGGGGGGGGGGGGGGGGGGGGGGGGGGGGGGTTACTTCTGTCATGGTGGCTAGGCTAAATGGGACAAACTTCGAATAGAGCACTAAGGGAGCCAGAATGTAGGGGAAAAAAACTGTGCTGAATTTCAGAGTTCAAAGAAAAACACTAAATAATGCATGCAGGGCAGAATTGGGCTGCTTTCCACCGATAATAACTCTGGCAGCCTTAAAGGAGGCCAGCCAGCCTGTGTGTGTGTCAGGACGCATTTAGAAGCAGTGCAATTAGAGCCTCCTGCGGTGAGCAACGGAGACCTGCCATAAAGGAGTATTGAACTCTTGAGACATGGCCTGCACCTCCATTATGCTCTGGTTTAGTTTACTATAGTCAGCAGGTGTTTCCTAGTCAACATTTAGTGCTGTCACTCAAGTCCACAATTCCACACGTGCATATACAAGAATGCACCACTTTTCATCAAAATTCAGCATTTCATGTTTGCATACAAAGGAGGGTGACATGAAATGACACGGAACAATGGCAATCAGAATACTTTCATGATCCCGCTCAAAAGTCTGTGTTACCCATGTGGCTGGTTTGGACTCGGTGTTTTGCTCACAGGCACTTAGACAACAGGTTCACAAATGTTCAAATCTGTTTTAAAAGTATAGTCAGGTACCCAAGTGTATGTCAAACCAGTTTTTGCTTGCTGTATTTATTCGCCTTTTTCATACTGGCCATTAAAAGATCCTTTCCTAATGTGCTTCCAAAGGAAGTGATGAAGAAAAAAATCTACAGACCTAATTCTCTGCAAAAATGTATTCCAAAGTTTTATCGCAAGCTAATATGTGGCTTCAGCAGTCTGAGGTAATCAAATCAAGTAGTGTCCTCCAAAGTCTTTTTGTGTTTTCCCGGACACTATTTTCTTGCTGAGCTGCAGTGGAGGCATCGTAACACAAAGAGGGAAAGATGTGCTGAAAAGAGTAACTTCGAAAGGTACTCAACTTGATTTGATTAACTCAAACCGCTGAAGCCACATTTTAGCTTCGGATAAACTTCAGAATGTATTCTTGCACAGATCGAGGACTGTGGATTTAGTTCCCCATCACTCCCACTGGCAGCACTTTAGGAAAAGGATCTTTTAATGGTCGATATGAAAAAGAGGAAAAATTCACAGCAAGCAAAACCAGTTTCAATGACTAAATTTACATGCACAAAAAAAATCGTTTTTTTGTGCTGTTATTCCAAAAAGACAATGTACCCACTAAGCTGTTTACATGGCTAATGAAAATGAATTTTCCACTAATGTTCCTATTTATATGCAGCCGTGCACACTCCAATTAACGTGCCCTAACTTGTTGTTTATCACGTCAAAATATGAAAAAGTGAAATGGCTGGAGTTGCTTGTGCCATTTTGCAATCTTTGCTTTTTCAACTGTCGGAACTCAGCCTCCTTCTTTTATTCCTTCAACCACCTTCTTGAAAAAGTGGTGATATCTACACATATCCAAAAACCTGTTGATATTCGAGTCTCTTATAAACAAAAGTAGGTGTGTTTCTCCTTTCGACCTGAAATATGGGCTTCTCTTTTGGGCATGCACCCCAGTTGAGACAGATATTCCTAATGCACTGTATACATGTCAAAGAATGCTCCTAAAATTTGAATATTACCGGCATATCCCACATGTCTTAATTGGAAAATGCTGCATTAGGAAAAAGACTACTCAGACTACCCAAATGGAATGTGCTGATGTGGTTTAATGAAAGCTACTGGATACAAAAAAATTCCCAAGGGCATGAATAAAGTATCTATCTATCTATCTCTATCCATCTTACTGTTCTCCACATCAAATTCAGAATTTTGTCATATTCTGAATAATAGAATTATATTAGTGTGCATGTAAATGAAGTCGATATTCATATGGGCATCTGACTTCTGCATTAAGACAGACCTGAAAATTGTGAACTTATCCTATAAAGCAGTAGTGGCTTGCAGAATGGCCTCTGCTGACTTTAGGTATTTAATACGTTCCCCACTAGTGCCTGAGAGTTACCATCGAACCAATCTATCATTGCGTGTCAGGGTTTAAACATTGGAGGAGGACAAAGAAATCTCACCTACAGTACTGTAGAATCAGACTCTGGGATTGCTTAGTTTGAGATAAAGCTTTTATCCTCTTGATAAAGTTCTCTTTATATCACTGACCTATGACTGTAAAACCTGTGGCACAATTCAGCCCACACTGCCACACATTCCTTCTTTGGCTCCACCCTGTGGCGCTTCTTGGCAAGTACACATTTGTCAACCACATAAACACACAATGTAATATGTGTTATGACCAAATTAAGGTTAAATTACATAGGGCAGATGTAATGACATTGCTAGCAGTGATTGGAGTGGGGCAGGCCAAAAGTGAAATATGATTTTAAGTTCAACCCGCACAGCACTGCACCGCAATGTTTGACTTTTCTGGTCTGTGTGAATTTTGTGTCGATTTGGTAATTGCCTGTAAAAGTGCATGGATATAAATCGAAATTTTAAGGGTGTCGGTTGATGTGCAGGAGGTCCCATGTACACTTGGACAGAGGGCGTTCTGGTCTGAAAACTCACCTATCAAGCTTTCAACGTTGAGGCTGAGGTTACGGCATTTGAAGTCAGGGTCTGCTCCATTTCTGTGAAGCACGATCTGAGCGATACACTCGTCTATCAACTTGTAGTACTGAGGCCTGCAGGAAGGAGGGAGTGACAGATTTACAGAGAGATGGATTAGGAGACAGAGGGAAAAAGAAGTGGGGAGAAATGGGAGGAAGATAAGATGAGAAGGATGGAAAGAGGGTAACAATGGAGAGGGAGAGTCAATATGTGGTGCTGGAGGGAAACAGAAAATGTGTCACTCTGTAACACACTTTGCATGTTGTATCCACAGCGTCCATTGTTATAGCAAATGTATGTGTTGTGCAGTAACAGTGCAGTCTGCATTAATAAAAAATCTGGCACATACGTGAGCAGAGGACGGCACTGACAAAAAGCAAGCAGGTTCATTTGTTCAGACAAATGTGTGAACACACATGCTTTGTCACTTTGTCTTTGTCTGCGCCTGAGATTGGCTGTCTGTGTGAGCATGACAGTTTGAGTTTCTTGTCACAAAGATTGATTGTGTGCAACTGTGTTCCTGAGAGTGTGTTGGTGTATGTCCAGCGCCCCGTGTCTGATCAAGCCAGCTTCACACAGACACTCAATTTTGGAGGTGTCTTATTCCCTGACCCCATTAGATGCTGCCAGAGTCACAAACTCAATACTTTATTTATTCTGTCTCCCTCCCTCCCTTGTCTCTCTTAGTCACTCTGCCTTTGTCTAACACTTATTCCACTCCTTCACTATACTTCAAGGTTTGTTTTTTTTCCCCTAAAGCTCAGATTTATCCGTGGAGCGAGAGAGACATCTAGTGACATTCTGGAAAACGGAGACAAAGTGGAAATAGATTTGTATTTGGCTACATTTTAAATCTGGCATTCTTTATGAGCCTGAACATATTAAATTTAGACATCAGGTATATTAGGGAAACGGTGGTTGGAAGGCCTAAGGCTATAAACATTTTGATTAATCCTTAAATTCATGTGTCATTGGATTTGTTAAACTACATCTATTAAGCCTGTACAGTCTGTGTACATGCACAGTAGGTACATGTCTATAATGTATGACCATTCACAGACTGCATTTCTGTATTCTGATAAATTACCAGGCCTCCACCTCCACTTGAGACTGAAACACAGTGACACCAAAAATGAAAATAGACCAAAGCGGCAGGTACTTTTTCGTTCATTCCCACACAAATGCCAACCCTTCCATTCCCTGTACTTCCCTCCCTCATTCTCTCAACATCTATCTAGCAATTTACCTCCACTCTCAATTTCATCTCCATTATTGTTTCGCCCTCCACCTCCCTTCTCTCTTCATCTCTGTAATTATCAAGCTGTATTTTCTGCCACTCTTCAGTTCTCCCTCCCACCCTCACTTCCTGTCTCTCTGAGGAGTCCATTATAGACCACCTCTATTGTGTTTCACTGGATCACCTGGATGGAGAAAGCAGGTTAGGAAGGAGAGGGGAGGTAAAAGAGACCTCAGCTGGGACTATTTGTTTGAGCCAACCTACCTTTTCCATTCTCACAATTTGTTCCCCAAACGGTGTTAAAAATAAACTATAATATCATGCCTGTCTGATACCTTTAAGGCACCAACAGAAACACGACTGACTCAACTCAAATGTGTGCACACCTCCATGTGTTGTTGTGTGTTTGGCCTGTAATTTTAAGTAAAGCAAAGCATTCCTCCTTTGTTGTTGCTGAGTGTGGAAGTGGACATGCATGTGTAGATGTGCACATACTGTGGCGTACAACTCTTGACTTGTCCTCAACATTATTCTACCCCCGTCTTGTCATTCAATTATTCACTCCTCCTTTCTCCTCTGTTTCCCTAGCTAAACCCCCAAGGGCTTTGGGAGACACAGGGAGAGACATTAGCATATTTCTGGTGATAAGAGGTGATGGCGTTCATTTCTATTAAAATGGAATTGGACTTCTTTGCATGTATTAATTTCTCAGCCTTTGAACGGTGCTCTAGAAAACAAACAGCAAATGGAGGACAGGGCTGTGAGGAGGGAGAGGAGAATGAAGAGAGGGAATTGAAGAAAAGGGAGAACTATTCCTTCTTAAGTTTTCCTTTCGTCTACGTTATTTGGGCTTTTCTTGCACTGGTACTGTAAAATAAACTCCCAGAGACAGTTACATAAGTACTTTCCTGTACATATATGATATGGCTGTATGATGCTGCAATAAGGAGTCCAAATTCTGCCTCCTAATTCTAATTCTAGAGTGCACTTCTGCATATTTGCCTTGCGCTGCATGCAGCTATTATCTACTCATCAATCATTCAGAGCATTTTAACAATTAGCCTTCTTCTAGTTTTTCTTACCCGTAAAAGACAATTTATGTGTCACAATAATAGAACAGCAGTGATATGTAAATCTCAGGTGATACAGTATCTAGCTACTTGTCACAAAACAATACCATATCAACATATCAGCTCTAATATGTGAATGTGTGAGCAGGCATATGAGTGAGAGAGTATCAGCATGTATGAGTGTGTCAATATTCATGTGTTACCTGGCCAAATAGTCATTACGGATCAGCAGCAGGTGCTGCATCAGGGACAGGAAGTGGGTTTCGGCCTTGGAATCCTTCACAGTGTTGACTACGATCTCAAACACTTCCCTCACATCGGTGAAGCAAAAGCAGTTAAGGCTTAATTAATACAACATAGAAGTAGATATTAAAAACTCAATACACAGTTGTCATTTGTGCACTCAGTGTTCATACAGTGTTGCAGTGAGGAATGCAGACTGTGTTTACACTGTATTGGTTACTCCTGGGAGACACCTGGTGTTGAAAATTATAACTGCATGTCAAAAGCTGAATTAACAGCAGTTAGTTAGATTCCTTTTTAAGGTGTTTTTAATAGTACACTGTTACAGTAAGGGGGGCTTTCTTCTTGTGGAAATCTTGTCCATCCTAGATGTTTCCATTTTTTCCTGTAAATATGTATTTTTATCAAGCAGGACAAGATCATTATAGACATTCAGATTTTACAGGGATAAATCATATTTGCATAGAATAAAGTTGTTAAAGGTCCAGTTATCCCACCATAAAAGTGGCCAGATAATGTGTTCACAATATATCATAGTTGTAGAAGCATGATACTAACTTTAACTACTGCTTTTAACTAACTTTTACTTTTTCTTTTCTTTTTTATTCATTATGATTATTTAATTGTATGTTTTTATTATCTTTTTTTTCTCTATCACAAATGATTGTCGATTGATTGTCTTATATGTTCGGCACTTTGTGTTGCATTTAATGCATGAATTGTGCGATATAAATAAAGTTATTATTATTACTATTATTATTAACTGATATTCTGGCAGTCCCCCACCCATGTGTGATTTTGTTGTTGCTTTTTAACCCAGTCTCCTCAAATAATGCTGTCAAATGAAAGTTTTGGATGGCAGTTCTAATAACAATCTCCTGTCATATATGTGTTTGTTTAATACAAAGGAAGCAAAAAATAAAATAATTATAAGAAGTGTGGTAGAATAAACCATCAAGTCCACATATAACAGAAGAAACTGACACTTAACTATGTAGTTTTGTTGTTGTGAAGCTAATTGGCCTGACTCAGCTCTGATAACAAAAACAGATACTTAGGAGCCAAAGTCCATCAGTGGCTGGATGTTTGATGTTTTGCTGTTCTTTACTGCAGTGCAGATGGGCAGCAGATGTCTGTGACATGCTAATTGGCAAAGACGGATTTTGAATGTTAAAAAAAAGTTCACACAGGGTTACAATGTCCCTGGAGCCTAAAAGATTATGCTTATCAGTATGAAAATATTCATTTTGCATCCGTCTTAGAAGAAAGTGAGTGGTCAGGCTGATAACTGGGAAGAAAGGGAGCGATCTGATTTTATGTCAATTCATTCATTAATTTTTATAATGAAGGGAATAAATGCATATAATTCTACATCCTATCTGTGTGAATCGTAGTCATTCTTTTATTATAAAGAAACATTATGAAGGTTATTCCTTTCACTCAGTAAACTGGCAAAGTAACAAAACCATGAGTGTGCAAAGTTATGTTGTAACCAGGTAGATAGATTTTCAAGGTCAAAAAGCAGACCCCGACAATTTCTACAGAGGGGCAATTTTGCTCAGTGAAAGGATATTCCATCTCAATGCGGATGTCATCAAGACGTGCTTTGAGGTCCTCAGAGTCATCTTCAGCCTGCTCATCAAACACCGTGAGTTGCACCCTCAGCTCTTCGTTTTCTATCATCCGCACCTCCTGCCGGGAGAGTGATGGGATGTAGGCGGAGGGATGAAAAGGCAAGGGGGAAAATGACAGGAAGAGTGTGACAAACATTGAGTTTGGACAGTTGAGAAAAAAAGTTTTCACAGCATATGAGCGTGTCTCAGCCAGTCAGCAAGACAGAGGCATCAAGAGTGAGAGAGACACGAAGAGTAAGGATTTGCAAATGTGTGTTGTTAGAGTCGCTTTGAGAGAAGATCAAAAGAGAGTGTTTTCTGTACCGTCAGCAGGTCTCTGAGTCCCAGTCTTAGCAGTTCAGAGCGAATATGGATCCTAAAGTCCAACTCTTCTCCCCGGCTGATCAAGGCGTTGATTAGCTGCATGCAGCCACCCTGCCAAAAGAAACACAAGTCAGCTTTACGATTTAGACTAACTGGATACATAATAACTGTACTACAAGACACAATATTTGTAAGCCAATGCAGATTGCACCTATTGAATGCAACTGGGTTCATGTAATTTGTTGACAATAACAAACATGGGGACTTATAATTGTTAACGTGTGTGAGCATGTGCACCTTAAGAGCAATGTTGTGGTTTTTCATGCCAGCAAGCAGAGGCTGGAACCTCTCGATGTCCCGCCTCTCTGCCTCCTCTGTAATGGCCTCCAAAACACGCTCATGACTGCAAAAAAACAGACAGTTATACACATCATATATAATGTTGCTACATGTTGTTAAAAACACATAAATACAAAAAAATGCTGAATTAAAAAGCAAATTCTGTCGCTCTATTTGACAGCTGCAGGTGAAAGAAGGAAAAAAAGACAGATACACAATTGTTCATTTACTGATGTCAATGGTAGGTTTCTAGTAGCTGCCAATAGAGCTGTTCAGAATATAACTTCGTGTAACACTGCAGACTTTAACTGTGGGGACAAATTGGTTGCCCAAGGCCATAATTGCTGTGTGTTCAACTGGTGTCAGCGTTTTACTAATGCTTACAGGTTCTCAGGATGTTCCAAAATTGAAATGGCAGAGAGCAGCTTGACAGCATCCACCATCATATGAGGCACCCTGGGGTTGATGGCTCTGACCAGCAGAGGAATTCCCTCATCTGACTCCAGCATGGATTTAAGACCGTACTAAAGGGGAGAGAAAGGAAATAGGAAGATAGAAAGCAAAATGAGGTAAAGTCCATTAAGGTTTATTTTCTGCAGCAAGAAGCTCAGGCTCTCATGGTTCAAATTATAGTGGTAATGTCAGAAGAATCAAAATCAATTTGTCTCTTGCAGGCACCACACCCATTATGCTAAATTACTGATGTGTAATGATTAACACAGATTCTGAAAAGATTTCTTCTAATTACCTAAAGTTTCATCCATCACTACACTGAAAACTTAAAGCACTCTTAAAGGTTACAGATGACTGCATTTATTGTAATGAACTGACCAAAGTTGGTTACATTGAATTCATAACCCCCTCTAGTGGAAGAATTGCTACACTACAACAAGGATATAAAATGGGATGAATATTATTTTATTACTGGATCTATTGCTTACAACTACTTGCGACAATTATGTGTACCCATACCAAAGAAATTACATTTTGATGCACATAAAAAAACAGTCAATGTTCCTTACCTTGTTGTTCATAAAGGCTTTTAGACAGCGAATGATCTCGTGTTGACATTTCACTCCCATCATTCTAATTGGGGAATGAGAGAGAAGAAACAAACAGAAGGACATTACAAACACATTACTAAAGAGTACAACTGCCTATTATGTGGTTTAAACTACTTACGGGTACTCGTCTTTGTCTTCCTGCAGTCTTCTCAGCAGATTCAGCAGCAGGGCCAGCCCCTCATCTCCAAAGTTCTGCACCCAACTGGAAGTGACACACCGTGATTAGTCCACTATGCTTTTACCATTTTTACATTTTATCACTTTGTCGTTCTCTAAAAATATATTTTGTTTACAACATTATTTTCCCATTTCCGTTTGAAGATTTTATTTTGTTTTCTTGGTATGCCTTTCAACTTGATTAAGACACAATGGCCGCATGGACAAGATAGCCATGTTTAATAGCATGACCTACTTGTAGTTTTGGGGTTGAAATAAATTTTACAATATTAGAAAAATCTGTTTTTTTTTTGGTGTGTGAATTTTTTTTGTTGCCTTAAATAAGACATAAGGAATATTCACTCTTATTGGAAAACAGACTACCACCAGATGACTAAACATAAGTTATTTAAGTTTTCAGGTGCTATAATGTTTGAAACAAAGGAGTAACTGCCAGATGTTTTCAGTCATAATAGTCCAGAAATCTGAAGGTCAAACTCTGTAATGTAAACCGTGAAAACATTACTGATTGAGCCTGTTATCGACAAAGTTGTCAAATGCAATCAGCAGTCGAGTATGGACTGTATTTGAAAGTCATATAATACAGTAGGCTGAATAGAGATCCCCTGTGTGAGGGACTGCATAAGGATTTGTCTCATTTCAGTCAGTAATCCATAGCAGCTTTTTCAGCAGCAGTTGAAGCATATTTGAAAAGGTCTACCACCTTTGCTGTGTGAGATTTTTCTTTGCAAAATGGCTTAAGCTTTGTTACATGGTGATCATGAAAGATCAGTGTCTCTAAAGCTCAGCTCAGAGCAAAGATTTATGACGAGAAAGTTGAAACTTGGAACTACCTGCAATGTGCCCATTTGCAACGCTCCGAAAACCTGACAGTTTACATTAACGCGACTAGACAATACAATGCTTCGTCTCCATAGCAATGACTCTCTGTGCTTCCTTTTTAACTTCCCGCTTTTCAGATATAAGTAAACACTGTAGGTGCTTTGTCTTCTGAGTATGTGTGTGTGACATGGGCCCATACAGCGAGCAGCAACAGCTACCCAACGTATGACACCAATAGACCATGAGGACGGAGACCAGGATACGTGACAGCCGCAGGGATGTAAATAAGATGGACTAAGCTTAACGGGGATGGAGGGCTGTTGTCAGAGAATGCCACAGCAAGCGAACACGCCATCTGCTGATAGTTTGTACCTGACTTAACCAGCTGACTGTAAACAGATGATGTGTCTTACGTTCTAAACCCAGCCACTGGCGACTTGACAAGCTGAGTCGCAGGTGACATCATCAGCCAGCTTGAGGCGAACTGAGATGGGCAAGTTCACACCGCTGCAACTTTTCCCTGCTAGTTCTAAATGGGTTTGTCTTGCTGTGAATCTTTGGTCTAACCCGAGCTTAAAAAGCCTCACCACAAAGTCCCACTCACATTGAGGTCTGGACTCCACACCAGGAGGTTGAAACATTTCATTTAGAGCAATTTTTTAATTTATCTGGTTCAATGTTTTATCTTCACAGGCAGTGTATGTATGTTAGGGCTGTAATAGTTTGTGTATTTGGCAAAGGGGTCAAGGGTCAGTACATGCAGCCGCACACAGAATGCATAATATTTAGATTGATGCATGTAATATGGAACCAAAGTAACCTTTAGACACAAAAGCAGAACGGGATAATGCAATTACTTGGGCAACTGGCATTTACACTGGCATGTAGCCAAGGTGGAACTTATTGAAACACTCCTCCTAATGCACAAATTATATTTTTTATTATTCTATTTATTTTGTATTTAAATTTAATAGCACAAGAGATGCTTCTGAGTTTTATAGCCTACTGTGACCTGTTGCACTTTGGAAACATGTACGTTCAGTGTTTGTACAGTGTAATACAGAAATGTTTGACATGTTGCTCGTTTTTACGATAAAAATAGTTTACTAAAGTTGTCTTGGTGCTAAATGTTTCCTCAGTTCCCAGCTGGAGGATACTGTCTGTCATTGAGACTTGCACTAATGTCTGTTTTAAATTAAATGAAAAGCAACATATGCATGTGTTTTTTCCACACTGCACCAAACCGTGACTCCTACAGCAGGGTATGAAGGGAACCGTGACCTCTATGCACCATTACACCCTTATCTGTATGTAACTATATGTGTGTTTTACCTGACGGGGTTGTTATTGAGTGAGACTCGCAGAGATTCCAGACAGCTCAGCAGCTGTGTGTCTCGGTAGTCTGACTTCAACTCCTGGATGTACATCATGGCTGATTTGGAGCTCTCCTTCTGGTTCTGACCCTAATCGACAAACCCAAACAGACAAAGTGAGCGCACAAACACAACATCGCTCTGTGTTCTGCATTTATATTTTGTCTTCTTACACGCTGTAATTGGTGTTATTTCCACAAGAAAGCACAACGACAGGGCACCGAGGGAGACAGTCAAGCTTAATCTGAAATTTTGATTTGCAGAATTAAAGGCTATTGCGTGTAGGATTTGCTCTTAATAGGCTTGTTTCACAGTTAAATGAACTGTGCTAGCAACCATCTGCGCTTGGTTATGTAGGTCCTTTGAGCTACTCGCTTTCATAGATTTGATTATATTACATCTGCTGCTTTTATTCACCCAACTACTAGGAGGGTAGCTGGTCCTCCAAATGATGGTTGTAAAATTTCATTTACTCTGCATTTCACCAGTGAATACATTTGTATAACATCTATAACAATCCAGTCAAAGCATTTTCTTTCTCAAGCGTTTGGCTTGAGTAAGGACACACTTCAACTGCATAAAAAGGCAATCCCTAAATACAGACAGTCAAGGAAAAGCCTTTGTCTGCACATTTGTATGAGCAATCATTCTTAGATAATAGTGTCACTGTATGATCTAATTACTTCTTTAAATTGGCTTTTAAACACTTTAGTCTGGCTGTGTGAAGTGAATATGACAAAATTCATATGTACTACAGCACTACGTGTTTAGTTTACTGGACGATATGGCGTGTAAAGAAGAAAACGCTTTGTAACTGGTGCTGATTTTAGCCAGTGCTGAAAAAGGCCCTACATGAAGCTACAAATTCCCTGCAGCATACAGTATTAGCAACATTTATTTTGGTACTGACAGCTTTAGACGTGTGAAGGTACTGGGAGACCATCTCTCGTTTGATCATAATGTCTTTTTCCCTCAGAGGCTGCTGCTTCTCCTCGTTCAGGTTCATATCCACCTGGAGAGTCAAGAGGAAGGAGGAAAGGAGAAACAGAAAGGAGTGGGATTAGAGGGGGAAAACAAAGTGTTTTGAGACAAGGAGATAGCTCGATGAAAAATCTGTAGACTCAAGCATTAACAAACAGAAAATACACACCGATATGGGAATCTAATTGTATTTATAGCTGTGAAGAGTTACCCTTGGGTATTTCAACTAGTCTCTCCTAAATTGGAAGTAAAGCCCCCAGTGAGATGCTGACAGATGCTCAGTTTTAAAGTTTGAGCTGGAGTGGTTTTGATGTGCTAAGACACTGAGCAGAATTATTAGATAATATGACATTACTTAGAGGAACTCTTAATATAGAATATCAAACATTGCAGTTTCAAGAAATACGTAATGTGAGGTCGCTTGTCACATTTTGTCAAAGCATACATATTTGGAGCAAACACAAACGAAAAATAAACTCTTTCACAATTATAGCTAGGTTTTTCTTTTAAAACATATTGGTAATTCTACATTAAGTGTAATTAATCAGAGAGTGATTAAGAATGAGTGGAACAAAGCTGCAACCATTTATCAATTAATCGATGAGTTGTCGACTATTAAATTATTCATCAACTAATCTGATAATGTCTGTTTGAGTTTAAAAAACAAGTCAAAACACTGATGATTCCAGCTTCTAAAATGTGAATATTTTCTTGTTTCTTTACTCATCTATGACAGTACACTTAATATATTTGGGTTGTGGACAAGACAAGACATTTGAGGACATCATTTTGGGCTTTGAGGAACCCTGCTCGACATTCTTCACCATTTTCGGACATTTGAAAAACCAAACAACTCATCAATCATTTGAGAAAAGCACTGACAGATTATTTGACAATGAAAGTAATCATTAGTTGCAGCCCTAGAGTGGAAAACACCAAGTATAAGTTTCCATGTCTGTTTAGAGGAGATACTGAAGAGGTGATTCTCCAGAAGTTTAATATTTCACTCACACACACACGCACACTGACGCACACACTTTTACTGTCTTTCTCACCAGCATCTGTTCAAAGAGTTCCAGTACATATTCATCAGAATGATCATGCAGCATGGCACTCTGAGCGTTGATCTCATAGCTGGCAGCTGAAGAGTGACGCTGACTTGGCACATGGCCAGGCTTCTCCTTGTCCTTTTTCATCCTCATGCTGGTGAAACGCTCCAACTGGATTAGCAGACAATATGACACAGGTTAGAGGAAGGAGGTCAGGGAGAAAAACTGCAAAGTGTGACCATCACTGTAAGACCACAAAAAAGGTAAAAATCCCTCATCAACTCACAGTTTGAATTCAGGCCTACTTTCTTAATACCAACTCATGACTGAAAAATAACAAAAATCAAAAGGGCTATTTTTCCCATCAATTTGGGATATCATATTTTCTACAACAGTAGAAACCTTTCAACACTGTGAGATGATGATTAGGGATTAGAGACGTCAGAGGTTTTTGCCAACAAACATTGAGACACAAAGTCAACATGCAGTCAACACTGGCAGGCACAGAACATAAGACTCAGTTTTGACAAACAATAGGGGATTTCCTTCCTTCTGGTTTTAATGACTTTATGTGGTAAACTGCCAAAACTTGCATTTTGTATCATTTACTGCCAAATAAAAAAAGAGTGTCAACTTTTGGATACATGCAATCTTGGCACATTTTGACACAGTGACCCTCCACAATGATTCAAAAACACTAATCAGTCATTGTGTACGAGTGTGGCATCCTCATGTGGCAGGCACATGAGGGCATCACTGGTCTGTGTGCCAAGCATTTCATGCCGTCAGTGTGCATCTTCAAAGCATGCACATCCAACGTGAGCACAGCACAGGACAAAACACACATACTTAAAAACACGTTATGGTGGATTAGGCTTGTGTGACGGACAGTGATGTGACATTTAAAGGACAAAGGTGAGTCAGTTTATCGAAGATCAATACAACAGAAAGTCAAGTGCACAGGTGAAAGCAGTAACAAACCTACCTCATCAGGAATCAGGCGTTTGAGTTTCTGTAAAGGATCAATGGATGAAAGGGAGAAAAATGGAACGAAAGGGTAGGAAAAAAATCAAACAGACAGCAGGGATCAGCGGTGACAAGAGGGGAGACAGATGGAGGGAGAGAAAGAAAAAGAATCAATTAGACAGAAATCATTTATGACAGGAAACAGATCCAGGAAACTGTCTATAGAGTGATTCGCAGCAGGAAAAAGGGGCACACTATAAATAAATCAGTGTTATTACCCAATGTAGTCATTGAAACATATCGACAGAGAGCTACATTTAAATGAGCTGGAATCAAAGTTCAGGTAACCAAGGCACCTGGAGGGAAGTAATTACATGTGTGACCTATTAGTAGCAGATCAATAGTCAAACACTCAAAGGCAGAGAGACATCAATACATTTTTAAAGGCAGGAAACTGGCACCAATATAAATGAAATACACTTGCATGTCTTGACCACTAGATGTCAGGCTACATTCAATAATGTCCCCCTAGGAAACCCATTGTTGGTAGAACCACTTTCAAACTGGACAAACACATGGCCTGACAAAGTCCATGCAGAGCAAGTAACATGACAATGTCTCAAATAAGAATAGACAGAACTAATGAGTGAAGGGGAAATGGAGGTGAAAAATACTTTTAAGGACAGTATCAACATTCTGTTCTTAACTGCAAATTTCCCTTGTAAATTAAAGGCAAGCTGTTTTCCATGTATTTTGACAGGGTAGAGCAAAAGTCACAACAACCCACAAGACAACAAGTAGCATGTAACCTTGAGGGTTAGTCTCAGCTGCAGGAATGTGAGGGTCAAAGGATCACAAGATCAAACACAGAATAGCTGTTCTTGAAGGTCCCTCATTAAAGGACCACACACAAACAGACTACATGCATAGACAAATGTTTCTCTTCCCCTGTGGTGCACTGGCCTATATGTTTAGCTCAGCTTTTAAGACAAAATCTACACTCAACAATTCAAAAGTCTCACAATACTCTGCAATACAGATTTCAAAAATCACGAAAATTTAAATAACATAATATTATTATGATAGAAAACACTGATGCTGTATGTAAGAATTTTGGTAATTTAGGTATGGGGTAAAAGAAGGGAACTTTTTTGTCCACAATCAAATTATTACAAGGTAATAACAGGTTGTTCCTGTAAAGCTACATTCTCCCTTCTTCATCCCATCTATCAACTATCTGTTGTGAATAGAGCTTCAAAAATAATACGACAGTCACCCATTTTGATTGTATTAAATTAATGTAAATTGAATAATATTTGAATGAAGACAAAGTAGATTTTTATGTCTATATCAAAAGTGAAAACAATAAATACCATGACTTTAATAATTCAAGACACTGAACTTTTCCAGTCCCAAATAAAGAATATTACATCGAATTCACCCACAAATAAATGAGCCTCGCAGTAGTGTGAAAGCAGGGTTTGTCAAAGTTGTAAAGCATTACTTTGGAAGGCAGTATATAGAGGTAGTTAATATAATGTTGTTACTTTTCCTTCAGTTCCATATTACTGGTAAAATGTATGAACCAAGATTGTGAAAAACACAGCATAAAGTGGCACCATCATCTACTCAGTAATATATCTGGTGACCACAGTACAGTATTTGTACCTTGGATTTTCCATTCTGTTATTTGTATTTCTAGAGAAAGCTCCATGTACTTTTTTGGCTATGAGAGTGAGCCTGTCTTTTTTTCCTTTCTCTTTGACCTCCACGTGTTAGCCATTGTCTCTGAGCTCTAAAACAAAGCGTGTCGAGTGATTTACAGTTCATGTGAAAGACCGCAGAGCAAAATAACTGTGGGACAAATATAATTCAATTGTAATACATTGTGATAAGTTTGCTCTGTCTGTTGTTGAATGTGCTGGTGTGAGTGTACATGTCTTGCCTACTAGGTGTCCGGCTACACCCAATAATGCCCCCCTAGGAGACCCAGCAGGGATGCTTACAACTGCCATAAGACAAACAACATCTTCACACATTCCCTGCAACATTTTACTGTCTTTCATTAGTATAATTAGAACTCACATTAGAATAATAAAGGACTCACGTTAAGAAAAAAGCCACACAGTAGCTAAGTCATGTTTCCCATGCCATTAATAAATCTGACAGGACAATGTAAAGACAATCAAAGTTAAACAAGTCAGAATGTTTTGCCTGATGGTTTACAGTTCTGTGGCAGCAATTGAAATGTTAAATGCATGATGCACAATGCCACAAACACAACACCACCTATTCAGTACCTTAGACTGAAAGATATTGCAGAGAGACAAACTAGTGTCAGATGGTATTAGTATCAGGAGATACTCAATATAACAGTTATCAAGCTTCCTCTAATATTTGCCTTACAGCTGAGGCTTGCACTTCCATCAGTATTACAGAAATAATTCAGGATCCAAAATTTGCCAATGATTTTTTCCATCAGTATTTTTCCCTAGATCCGTGTGTGTGTGTGTGTGTGTGTGTGTGTGTGTGTGTGCGTGCTTAAGCCTGCTGACAGCGTTCACATCCAAATAAATCAGATCAAATGAATGAAGTCGAGGAAATGAAATGAGTCAAGGCTGCGGTGAGCTCTGCCGCTTGAAAGCTTTTGTTCCAGTTGTGCTGCGTTTGTTTCATCTTTTAGTCACCTGCTGCTTTTACATGGCACTGAGTTAGGGGTACATGAAGCAAATCTGGCTTATTGTTTCAGTTTTACAGCTTTTTACAGATGTTCAATGTAGATAATTGGCCTTTTGTACCTATTTTTTCGCTGAACATTTACTGTATGGATTTTGTAACAACATTAGTGTAGTCTTTAGGACTTCCTGTCCCCTTGTCAAGGGACGTCTTTTAAGAATGCCTACAATAACATGGGTGGCCACAAATGGACGAGTTAATTGAACATTTTTCTGTAGCAGGAGAATAGGTAAAGAGGAGGAAGAAAGACAGAGAGAAAAAGGGCAGTCTGATTAGGGGGAGACTACTCAAGAGACGGAGGTTTCCGCTTGCACAGCTGCCATTAAATAACAGACCCTCAACCCATGCACACACACAGATATGGGCAGAAAACACATGCACACAAATGTTGTGGTGCTACTTAGCCCACAGAACAGAAGTAAACAGCTGACAGTAGGCAGAAGTGGATTCTGGGTAATCGCACGGGAAACTGAATACACAAATGTCAGGAAGACAGTGATCAAGATAGAGGGTAGAGGAAGAGACAAAAACCATTTGTGAATTTGTAAAGTTCCGCTTTTTAACCCACAAGTACATTTATATGCACTCATATACAAAAGTAACCACGGTGTTTGAGCAAGGATTGTCTTTAAGGGGGTGAAATGGGCCTATAAGTACTGTCTTTCTGTCTGAGGAGAACCATAAAGGCAACAATGAACCGCTTCAGAACCACTTTCTGCTCTGAGTACCAACAAAGCCTCTGTTAAATCAATGAGACAGAGCCAGCTATGATCCAAGAACTAATTGGTTATTCACACGGCTGGGAGGTATAGCTGAAATTAATACCAAAATACTATACAAATAATTTTCAGATACACAGCATATCACAATATGGCAATGAATGCAGAATTATGTATCAAATAACCTAATTGTTATTCAGTGCAATGAACTGTTTTTCACTGTTCAGTACTAAACAAGACAAAACTCTTTAAACTCTTAAACTTAATTGCTTTAGTGTTATCTTTTAATTACAATCAGCCTAAAATTATTACGTTAAACGGCAGTTTTGCAAAATGATTACGTGATATAATCATATATCATATAATCCACTGGCAGTCCATACACTACAATACTGAATTACTCCCAAACCCTTGCTATACATGCTATTCTCAGAAGTATAATGCCAACATAAAAATCTCCCTGAATGTGTGTGTCGGCTAAATTGATCCTTAACACAACACTGAAAAATAATCAACTCAGTCTGTGGTGCGAAAGGCTATGCCTCGACAAACTGATGCTATTAAAATTGACAGAAAGAACTGAGTAACCTTTGTAGCAGCATACCAGCATACTTGTGAACGACAAGGGGAAAACCAGTCACACAAGTGGAACAAAAGTACATAATCTCATTAATGTTTGGCAATTAATCTACAGATGACCACTTTAGTCACAGTAGGAGTAGTGTGCCGTTTTCTCAATTTCATCCTAAGCCTAAAATAAGCAGTTAATCGATTAATCGAATTATGACTGCCGATCTACCAAAATAATTACAACTACTTTGACGATAATACAAACTGCAGATCGTGTGCTTACTCCAGCTTCTCAAAGACATCTCTTTGGGATCTGTGAAACTGCAATTGGATTTTTTTTAACCATTCTGAGACTTCTTACAGACCTAATGATTAGATAATTATTACATAAAAGTATTCAACATAATTGAATAATGAGAGCTCCCTCCACTTGGGCTCAGAAAGTTTTTCACTGACTTTGTCCAAATACCAAACCCAGAAACTCAAACTCAATTATAATGCAGAGGGGTTCCACAAGAACAAACTGCCAGCTGAATGAGCCGATTCATCTAATCAGCCACAATGAGCTGATTAGTTGAAGTGGTGCATGCGACAGGCTCCCTCTTACTACAGTTTGGGTGAAGATCAAGCCACCAACACCTCAAAAGAGTAAGCAACTTTTACATAGTGGCCATAGGTGGCTTGAGATAGCAGCAGGCTTGAAACAGTAGCTAGGTTCAGCCAAATGGATGTGTCACAGCATCCAAAGTTACTAAAAAAAGAGGAGTTTAATCTGACACCATTGGGGCCTCGGAGCATTAGTGTTTTGTTTTTAATTCAATGATATCATTATTTTTAGGATAGGCATGTTCAACTGTACTGTATTGTCTATAGACTTGTCCAATATTACTTGGGGTTCCCACAGGAAATTGGTAATTGGAGGTCTAAATCCCAACAAAAGCTTCCCAACATTAAAAGCTAGTTAAGTTGTAATATGCATGATCGTTTTAATAAGGGCTAAAAGGTTTAAACGAAAATTAAA